GCCAGAGAGAAAACTCGGGGTAGACATAGAGAACCCGTCCTTTGAAAACCGAATCTGATCGCGGGGTAGACTGACGGCAGCGCTGTCATCAAGATATGTCTGTTATAAAGATAACGTCTGCCTCGCTTGTGGCAGCGCTGTGTGGGGGCCAGCTTCCTACTGGTGGCGGCTCCTGGCTGGGCTGCGCGGCCGCTGTGTGTCCTGTGTGTCTGTGTGTGCTCTCTGCATGTGTGTGCGCGCACGCTGTGCTATCTCTGAAGTGGGGTGGCTCGGCGGCCGGGGTGCCAAGGCCGGCGGATGCCCCGGCTGTCGGCGGCGCGCGGCGTTAGTGGCGCCCATCTGGCGCCTCCCCGGGAGTTGAGCTCAGACGTATCAGTCTCGATGACCTCATGGCGTTGGGCCCCAAGCACTGTTTTTTCAGCTTTGTTTTTTAATCCGCTTAGATTGGTGTTGTGCGATATCTGTGACCCTGGGGAACGTTTTCTTCGACGGACCACTTCACTCACATTGGTCAGTGCAGACCCACAAGTGGCTTTGGTTTTGTCGTTCGCGTTATCAAAACTGCGCACATCGCTAGTCTGTTTGATTCATTGTCCGCGCAGAGCATAAAGTATTAGTCATCACAGCGTGTCATGCATGTTTGTTCGTCCTGTGATTACAGCGATTACTTCTACGACGCATCAAACTGGGGCCCGGACACCTGTTCAGCAAAGTAATTGCTTGAAATCGGGTTTGCCTGGGTTTCTCGCTTGGGGTTTTAGCTAAGTCGACAAGTAACCGAATACGAGTATGCCGTGCCCCGATTCCATGCTTCTGGAGTGAGTCGTGTTTGCTAAACATTCCCCAAGCATTTGCCCTCGTGCTAACCACACCCAGGCACCTATTTCCTGTTAGTCCTGTCCCTCCCCTTTCCAGTGGTGCCACGTGCCTCGAGGTGTCACGAGGTTACGCCACCTTCAGCAGTGTTTTGTGTTTCAAAGAAACTCCCAACAGTGGGATCCTGCTAACAGCATCCCACCACGACAGTTGTGATACTGACTGCATGTTAACCCCCTTGTTCTGCTGACCACACCTCAACCACCCGTGTTCTACTGACGACACCTCTACCATCCGTGTTCTGCTGATGACACCTCAACCCCCGTGTTCTGCTGACCACACCTTAACCACGCGTGTTCTGCTTACATGCCCTAACCGTCCGTGTTCTGCTGACCTCACCTTAACCACCCGTGTCCTGCTGACCACACCTCAACCACGCGTGTTCAGACCACGCGTGTTCTGCTTACATTCCCTAACCGCCCGTGTTCTGCTGACCACACCTTAACCAACCGTGATCTGCTGACCTTACCTGAACCCCCATGTTCTGCTGATCACGCTTTAACCCCCGTGTTCTGCCGACTACACCTTAACCCCCGTATTCTGCTGACCACAGACCACACACAGGCCTGACAGTCCAGCATTGCAGTCCCAGCAGCAGAACCCCGTGTTCTGCTGGCGACGCTCTAACCGCCTGTGTTCTACTGACCACACCTTAACCCTCGTGTTCTGCTGACCACACTTTAACTGCTGATCACACCTTAACCCCCCGTGTTCTGCTAACCACGCCTTAAACCCGTGTTCTGCTAACCACACCTTAGCCCCCGTATTCTGCTGACCACACCTTAACCCCCACGTTCTGCTGACCACGCTCTAACCGCCTGTGTTCTGCTAACCACACCCTAACCCCGTGTTTTGCTGACCACACCATAACCCTCCGCGTTCTGCTGGTCACAGATCACACACAGGCCTGACAGTCCCAGCATTGGTTTCCGGCTCTCCCCAACCCGCCAGCCGTGTTTTGCTTACGTCACCTGCAGCAATGATACTCTGCCGATATCACAGCAGAATTGATGTCCTGCTTACTGCACAAGGTGCCGGTAGTGTTCGCTGTCAACTACACAGTAGCAGAGCTCTGCTAATCTTACCCACGGTCATTACCTCGCCATCCCGCTGTCACCGGTATCCCGCTGCCCATACATAATCCGCAAGTCGCGGTGCGCCCCGCCGCACCCCTCACCCAGCTCGGCCCCACGCGATCACCCGCACCGTTAGGCGGTTGACACACCACGTGACCGCCGTGTGACCGGCCGCGTGGGTCGCAGGTGGGAAGAACAAGCGCGGAGCCCTGCCCGACACCAGCAGCCGGCTCTCGCTGACCGAGAAGTGGGAGAGCGCCGGCAGCAGGCGGGTGTCCGCCGTCAGTCGGCGGCGCGCCTCCTCCATCCCCGAGGGCGTGCTCTTCGACGGCCCTCTGCCCGCGCTCGACTTGCACTCGCTGCACGAGGACGAGGGGGAGGCCACAGCCGCGCCTGACTGCACGCAACACATGTGAGGGCCGCGCGCCGGGCTGCGCGGCAGGGACGGCGGCGCCGCTGTCGGCGCGGCGGGAGGTGGACAGTGGCGGTGGAGAGCAGCGCGTGGACTGTTTGTGGGGAGCGGGGTCCATGAGGAAGCGTGCACATGCCGAGCGCTGGCCTCAGCAGTGCGGCGTCGGGGTGCCCAGTGCCTGTGGGCTGGTCCCAGCTGAGTGCTCTGAGCGCTGGCTCAGTCGGCGGCGATGCCGCGTGCTACCTCAGCGCCCCGATGCTCGTCCCAGCGACCGCGCGCCCGCGCGCACCCGGACCGTGGTGCGCGCGGCCCGGGCGCGCGAGGTGCGCGCGGCCCGGGCGCGCGAGGTGCGCGAGCGGCGCCGCTGCCGGCGATGCGCGGCGCCGTCCGGTCGGACGGCCGCAGGGCCCCACAGCCGGGACTTCCGCCACTCGACGCGTGTCGGCTGCGCCAAGAGTGCTGTCAACATGGTGCGCGCATTGCGTCGGCTGGCAGCTGATATAGCGAACCGGCTGACCCCGCCGTCGTGCGTTGGAATTTCAGCGTTATCGGTCGACCACGGGCCCTCGCGCCGCGCCTCGTGAAAGGAATCGTCCCATCAGGTGACCTCCGGAGGTCATACGACTATTTTTTATTAATAAAGCTCGCCTTGCTATTGACCTTTGTGCTGGTCGAGGTCAAGAGGACGCTGATCATCGGTTGGGCCACGACATTACAACGCTGTCTGGCGCCGCGGGTCCAGTGGGTCACGTCTAGCATTGCCGCGGGCCGGCTCTGTGCAGCTGAGCCATCTTACCGCGGTGATGAAAAGAAACGAGTTGTCTTGCCGAAAATATATGGGGCTCACTATCCCGGGAGTTCACTATCCCGAAGTTCACTAACACCTATTGACGAACATGTCAGGTCATCATTAGACTCTGTTATGAGTATGATCGACGTTTCGAGGTGGTGACCTTGATCACAAGTGGTCAAGGTTGTGCAAAAAGTCGGATACAATGCTAGGACACATGAAGGAGACCACTGAAAAACGCCTCCAGAGACAGCAGCGCGTCCACATGCAAGAAACTGACCAACCATATGCGAGCAGGAATACCGCCTGCCTTCAGATTCATCCGCTCGTGCGGGGTGGGTTCGAGTCACTTTAGGCGCTCGTTATTTGCCCTCGACAGGTATGGCCTGCGGCCGGTGGCGGCCGTCGCAGTAAAGGTCAGATGAGGTCAGCGGGCAGGGCGGACCTGTGCCGAGCACTGCGGTACGTTCAGCTCTCGCCACCAAATTTTGTCGTTGACATGTAATTGCGTGATCAGATGGTACGGGTCAGAACTAACACAACAAGCATTGCTTAGGCGTGGGTTCTGATCCCAGGAATCCATCCATTCAACAACAGGTTCGAATTCAATCTGTGAAAGAAAAAAACCGTTGAGAGGGGGCGTGCGCAAGGGCTTAGCGTATACTATTTCTTTTAACACTTCCCCACGCATTCTTTAAGCCAAATTGAGAAAGTCGGATATCCAGTCATTCCGTCAGCCAGAGAAACAGTGCGTGGTATAACTTAACACCCAGAGACACCTGCTCACAGAGAGCATACGCGGCGTGGAAGACAAGCACATGAACGGAGCATGCCCAGTGAACGCCTTTAAACGGTAAATTTTAACGCCGGTTTAAAACAATGCGGCCTCAACGTATTACCATCGCGGCACATCCGTGTTCTTCGTACCAGGCTCAACGCACAAACGCCAACGTGGAGCGTGATCCGAGCGGCTTGTAAGCTAAGATGCATTTAAGGCGAGTAGCGTGCTAGCTGTTGATTTGAACACTGATGTCCTGTAAGCAGCTGCCGCCTATCCTTATACTCGGTATGGGTCATCTTAGCCTTGCGAGTCGCCCATCCGCGGTTCGGAGAGCCCTTACGACAACGCCGTGTATCGGGCATTAGGGTATGGGAACCTGAATGATTGCACTGATGTCCCCGGTAGGTGTATTTAGGATCCGCGCGGATCGGGTGTTCGAGACCGTTCCGCTAACCATCCCTGTTTCGAGCAGTTCTCCGCATAGTATTGTATGTTTTGAGTAAGGATTTAGACGTTTGAAGGGCTGATTATTTTAGTATGTTTCTGGGGTAGTCGGCAAAGACGAGAACTACTTTCCAACCTTCATCCCCTCAGATTTTTTATTATTTCTGTGTGATCGTACACTTACGTCAATCAATACTTTCTTGAAATCCCGAGCTTTTTCATTATATATCCTAATTTGATTAGGTTATAGGTAATAGACCATAGGCTATATATCGATAAAGCTAGACTGGATTAGAGTTCTGGATGTCTTTCTTTAGCTAGCATTTCCTGGTATCTTCAATGTACACCATTTCTAGCTCTGGATGTCTTTCTTTAGCTAGCATTTCCTGGTATATTTAATGTACATCATTTCTAGCTCTGGATGTTTTTCTTTGGCTAGCATTTCCTGGTATATTTAATGTACATCATTTCTGCATAAGGACCGACAACGCCGAAACACCAGTGCAATGTCTTTCTTGCTTTCATCAGGGACTCTCACACGGCACACTGGGTAACCTAGCGCGAAGAAATGCATCAGATCCAGCCCATAGATCCAGACCCAGACCTGGTGGGCGCCCTGCGCTACCGGCACTGGTGAAATCCAGCCTTCAGGCTGACCTGGTGACACCGACCGCGTGCCGTTCAACCAGCAGGCCACAGCCACCATATGTACCCATGCCGTACGGAGCATGCCAGCCGTGACAAGTGGAGTTTCATACATTTTATAATTATTACATCATCGACGCACGACGCCCGTCCCCTTACATGGAGCGCCAAGCCGCACCTGCTGCGTTGACCATACTAGTGCTCAGGGGTCATATCCACCCGGTCATCACGCCTGAACGGTTTGTACCCAACATGGGTCGAACCTTATTGCGCTGGCTTCTCCAAACACCGCCCGGTGGGCAATGCGGCGAAGCGTCGGACGATGCGCGAAAGCGTGTCGAAGGCAGTATTGCGTAAGTCAAATGTTTTCCCATGTGAGCTACGAGGACTACGGACGAGGTATGAGCCGGGCTAGGTGTCGAATTTCATTTGAAATGTAACCGAAAAATTAGGGATTTGCCATTTTCTTACTGGAAGATGCCGGTTCTTGCAACCTTGCCGGCCACAATCCAGCCTGCTTCAATTTCTGTCAAATAACACTCAAGACACTTTCAGGATTATCGAACAGTGAACATGAATAGCTCCAAGCAAGGAGAGCGGCCTTTTCAAACCACAGTTAACCGTTTGAATGAACTGAGCCGGTGGAAAGACTACATCTGCTTCTTAAAATCACATTCATGTTACTCTACCTTGGAAGCGAGATTGCCTTTGAAAAGGTGCAAACCACGTTCCCTTTCAGTTAGTCGCGCTGTTGGCAGTCTCCTAGAAAACTACGTGGGACCTGCGGGTTGTATTTTCCTCCAACAATCCTCCACGAAATGGCATGACATGGTGAGAAGAGCATCCCCCAGCGGACTGAAAAACAACTGTAAATGGTCCTATCGCAGGACAACACTCCTGTCCCTATCCAGCATCAAAAAGCAGCGGCGTCACATTAAAAGTAACAGAACACTCCTACAACTTTCTTCCGTTTCTTGCCTTGGTGTAGCCCTCGGCTGCGTTTTTGGAGGTGAGCTTCTTGTGCCGCTTGATTTGTCGCCGGTCATCCAGACGGGGTAGTTGCCGTGCTCGTTCCGCAGCTGTGACCGGATGCTGGAACTGGGGCTTCGCCTTGGTCACCTCCATGGCCTCCTCGCCGTCGGCCAGCGGTGCCGGCCGGCTGGCCGCCTTCCGGGCCTTCACTGCAGAGGGCAGGACAGGAACAGAGTGGCGTCATGGACCGGCCTGGTAGCGGGTCGCCCGGCGGTGGTGGGAAGAGCCCCACAACGGCGGTGAAAAGAGCCCCGCTAGCGGGTGGTGAAGTGAAAAGAGCTCCGCGCAGCAGTGGTGAAAAGATGCCCCGCCACCGGTGGTAAAGTAAAAAGAGCTCCCGCCAGCAGTGGTGAAAAGGGCCCCAGCCAGCGTTGGTAAAGTAAAAAGAGCTCCGCCAGCAGTGGCGAAAAGAGCCCCGCCAGCGGTGGTGAAAAGAGTCAGCCTTCACAGACGCGGACATTCCTAGGACGTGTAATCATACATGAGTTTCAAATAGCATTCTACAGAGCTGGTGCTGTGAATGCTATTATCATTCAACAATAATAATTCTATCCGTGAACGTGTCGATTTTGTCCAGGAAACCGCGCCCTTGTGGGCGTAACAAGCAGATCTGTAGTGTATTTTGTGGAAAAATGCGGTTCTTAAGGTGTTTTGAAAATGTCCACGGACCCTGCCCACTTTAAAGGCAATGTGAACGGGGTCGGGCACCAAGGTACCTTCGCAGAGGAAACCAACGGCATAGTGGCGGAAAAACAAAGGGAGAAACCAATTAAACAATAACGCACGGACTCGTGTCATGACCCCGCAATGCAAAGAGTCCAGTCGAAGCAAATGGTATGCAATGCTTGGAACATTCATGGGAGGAAATCACAGGGAAATCGACACATACGCTAGAGTGGCCTGTAAAAACGTCGCATGGTTACATCGTCCATGAGTGCATCCAAGCAAGATCACCAATAGCACGCGTCCTTACGTCGTTTAGGAAGGCGCGTTACAAGACCCAGGTATTTTACGACGATGACTTATGCAATGAACCAGAACATGGCGTGGATGAACTCCTTCAAGCCTGCTTCCAATGTGCGTATTTTACGAGCATCATGCAGCCAATCAACACGGCGTGGGTTAGAATCTCAAAAGCTTGTTTGACGGTTCCATCAAATCCCGATACGCAGGAGGAAGAAAAATGCCTCAAATAGCTCAATCCCTCATCGGAACAACACTCCATCATTAGCCCCGCACGGGCGATCTGAGGAAGATCGCGGCCCCCCAGCCGGCCCTCTTACAGGTTTCGGCGTCGGTCATCACTGCCTCGGTGGTGCCGTCCACGTCCTCTCCCGCCGCGCGCAGCATGTCCTTCAGCCTCTTGACTTCCTTCACCTTGAACTTCTCCTTTCTCTCGCGTTTCAGCTTCTGCTTCCGTTTACTCCGCATGCTCTTCCCCATGGTGATTTAAAAAGTGGGGCTGGGTCTGAAACATCAACACATTTCAAGATGACAGTCCGCATTCTGTTATGAGGAAGTACAAAAAAAAATCCAATTTGCTGGCCATGAGCCAACGGTCCATAACTTCTTCATGCTATTTTCACAAGCAAATGCCAGCTTCAGAATGCTGCTGAGCACATAGCTGCCATTTGCACAGAAGGTGCAGCAGTAGCTGCAGAGCAATGGGGAAACATTACTGAATCAAATGATGATGACTTTGATTTTCTACAGCACTTTGAGTGCTGAGGCCTTTTCACATTTAATGGATCAAAAGGTGATATACCAACATGGTGCAAAATCGGACAGGTGCTGCACAGCAGCATTCCAAAATACAGGTAAACACGACCATGGATGGCATAGGTACACAGTACCCAGAGGCAGGCCAGTATCCCCTGTCAGCAGCAAAATATGATCTGATGCAAAAACAGTATGCTGTATAGATGGTGACCCAAATGTTGCAGAGACCACAGCAACATGTCTCGCAGGTAGCAAAGCAGCCTGTTCCCATGGCATGCATATCAGGCAAACCATTAAAACATGTTTCACAGGCAATACCTCATATGCCATAGAAACCATGTTGACATACCCCACTTATGAGGATCAGTATATGCCATGCACAAGTTAATGTACATAACTCACATATTCTAAAAGGAGAAAAGGAGTGTTCTGTATAACTGATAAGTCCCTTTCCTCTCAATGTTTACAGTGATAGGGCTCCCCCTAAGAAAATCACTGTTCATGTCAATCTGTCATACATTTTGGAGCATTTTCCTAGTTCTTTAGCTTTTCCAGGCCTTTTTTTTGGTTACTTTAAAGAATATACCCTGAATCAGAGTAGAATTGTTTATGCAAAGTAACTAATTTAGACCACATAACACAGGCAATAATTAGAGGACAATAAAATTGTGTCACTTTATCCTTTAAATGGCATAATTTTCAACTCACTGATGAGCTACTTGCAAGCCACCAACGCCCAAACATTTTCAGGATGGTATCCACTACATTGATTGACATAATAAAATAGTAAGATAATTATTGAGTTAAACATGTCATTACAGAAACAAATACCTCCTAGAAAACTTGTGAGGAAAATCACTGTCATTGCAAGAGCAAGCACATGAGTGCTACAAATGGTGACTGTAAGCCCATGCTTGACTGGCGCATTAGCACACATTTCCTGTTGTTGACATCAGGCAAGGAATAATGAGTCACTCTGAACAAATAATTAACTAATGCTGATAAGTTAATGTTAAAGTCAAAGAATTTCTTACATTCTAATGAAACTGCAAACAAATATATCCATCACAGTGGACTCGCCCCTTCCTTGATGTGTGCTGAGCCGGAGCATACTTATGATGACCTCAGGCCAGGCCAAATTGTGTTGAATTTTCGACATAAATTTACATGTAAATGCTTGAGAAGTATGTTTTATTAAAATTACCTAACAACATAATTCACTGAAACATTGGGTCGGTATGTGCAGAGGCTGGTGGCTGTCATGCTCAGTGGTGGCTGCACACCAAGCTTCAACACTTAGAATTATGAAGTGCATGCACTGAAATTTTTGCTGTTATGTCGTTGCCACACCGGACAAGATTGGCGCAACACGCCTACTCTTGCAGTCTGGTCTACCAATAGTGTGTAGTGCTTCCTTCAAACTGCAATAACATTTGATATGACTTGTTTCTCACCCAAATTTGTTTCTTTTCCGCATCTGGCGTAAAAAAGGACACATGGAAACTTACCTGGCAATGGTGCAACTGCTAATGAAGTTCTTGATGGTTGATTTCGAGGGGACCAGACCCCTTCCGTCAAACCCCTAAGGTCTCGGAAACTAAAGGACAAGCTCACGTGGTTCTGTAGACGATAAGCTGCGCATGATGACCTTGGGTGTCAATAGTCCTAACTGGGATTAAAGTACTGTAAAAAAAAATTGTGCAAACTTTACCAATATAAGCTCAGGACGCTGTTCCCGATGCATTCACCTTAGCCTTCCACCATGTTTGTCCGACATGCCATCCAGCAATTTTCCTATGCATGTATGACAACAGGAATGTCCATTACAAGAGAACAAATGTTATTAAAAAGTTGCACTTGGCTTATATCAGACCACGCCTATAGTATTGTGTACAGATTTGGTTCTCATGATTCCAAAAAGGAAGCTTCAGCAGGTAGGCTGGAAAGAGTGCAGCGAAAAGCAACTACGATGATAAATGGGACTCGCAACTTAGAATACAAGGATGCGCTTAGGGCCTTGGATTTGTGTTCACTGGAATATCGTTGACTTAGAGGGGATCTGATAGTTATTCAAGATTGTGAAGGAGATAGACAACGTAGATCTGCAAAGAGCATTGGAAATGAGGCCGAGACTTAGAGGAAATCAGTTTCAATAAGAAAAAGGCAGGAGTAGAACTTTGAAGAGGCAGGTATCATTTAGTCAAAGAGTAGTGAATCACTGGATTGGGGTGTCAAACGAAGTCGTCGAAAGTTCCTCTCCAGTGGCATTTAAAAATCGCTTGGACAAGTTGTTTCGGTCGAAGGATCTCATTTACGGCTAAATTCAGACAGATCAGGTGGAAAGATCAGAGTCGGAGTATGTTTGGAGCATGATGTTGGCCAAACTCGATGGGCCCTTATGTCTCTTTGTTGGCCTGATTTCTTTATGTGGCTGTGTGTTTCTTGATTTACTGAAAATCCTTGATGATATAATATGATCTGTGGACGAAATATAAAAAACGCGCAGTCCGGAAGACAACGCCTTGTCCAGGGCAGCTCAGAGCAGCGGACAGCTTTCCGCATCCACAAGGACTGCGGACCCACGTGGATCATGCTTTAGCCTTTTG